TTTTTTTTTTTTTTTTTTTTTTTTTTTTTTTTTTACAATGCAAATCCAGTCCAATTTTTTTTAAAAGCCACCTGCTTGTGCAGGTCAGGTAGGGTGCGTTCAGGTGTTCCCATGAGATAAGCAACCCATTCCCCAAGGAGCCCGGCACTTATTACCTACCAAGGTTTTGCTGGCATCAGTACCTGGGGCAGAGCTGCACCCTCCAAACGTAAGTACCTCCACACCATGGATGAACTGAGTTTTAAACCCTGTATTCGGGGCCTGGGCTAAGAGACGAGGGGTTTTGAGGGTGATGATGCCTTGCAGGCGGGTGTGTCGGAGCTCATTTCCATGGGTGCAAGTATCATAATGGGTTCTCATGGTGGGTTAAGAAGGCAATGATCAGTGACTAGAAGGGGTGCGCGCGCGCGCGCGTGTGTGTACAGACATATATATATAGCTATATATAGACATATATATGAGAGAGAGAGAGATCTATATAGATATATATACACATACATCTATATCTATAGACATATAGATATCTGTAGATGTCTATCTATATATATCTAGATAGATAGATATTTTACCAAAAAACCCTCCACAGTAATTGCCTTAGAAAAACAGAGGGGGTTTGCCTTTCCATTCCCTTTTTTGCTGACTTGGGAATGGAAGAGCCCGTGTTTCTCGCGGGCTGCGTGACATGCCTGCACCTTGTGGAAGCACATCATGAAGATCGGAAACCGAGTGCTGCCTGCTTTCGGAGTCTGCAGCCCCTGGAAGGGCTAACCTGGGGGGCTCGTGCCCCATTGGTCTGCCCCCCTTGCTGGCTGCCACCTTTGCGGCAGGTCAGGGACTGTGCCCAGCCACCCCTCACAGCTCTGCCTGCTTGGTTTCAGGTCGCCGATGGCTGATGCAGAGTTTGGCGGCATGTCCATAAAGGAGGTGGAAATCGAGGGCAAACGCAAACCCTTGCAGCCTCACTGGTATGAGCTGTACGTCCAGCCTTGCATAGCCGAGCTCCTGGGCTCTACCCTCTTCATCTTCATCGGCTGCTCTTCTGTGATCGAGAACGTGGAGAGCACGGGGCGGCTGCAGCCGGCGCTGGCGCATGGGCTGGCTCTGGGGCTCAACATCGCCTTTTTGGGCAATATCAGGTATGGGG